GTCTCGTTTACTTATCAAACGAATCGAACACGAACTCATTGACGAACCAAACACGAACTGTTCGCGAACAACAAACTTTTTTGATAGCCTTACATGTCGTCATGTGGCACTTGGTGATGAAGATCGGGTACTTAAAACCATAGTTTCTTTGCAAGTACTTGTTTAACATCAGCACGCTAGTGTTGGACGAGTACCACGAGATCGCCAATCTCGCAGTAAATAGCCAACTGACGACCGTCGAGCCCTGCGAGATCAACTTACCGCTCATCCTCTCGCCTCCTTCGACAAAGGGAGATTGGCTCTTTCCGCTCTCCCTCCGACGAAGATCTACGATTAGGATGTTGTTGAGGTTGGTGGAAGGAGTATTCCTGCAATCTGATGCGAGAGCATTACCCAGAAGATCGCTGGATCGAAGGAGATCTCATAAGAAAAAGATCGGTAGCGTTTCTCCAATTCAATTGCAGTCAAGATCAAGATGAGTGCCCCCCCTCCCTTCCTGCACGGAGGATGGCAGAAAGAGAGTCCGACAGTTCTGTAAGGAGGACCGGTGGCTAGGGTACGAAATTAGGCTCTGATATCATGTTGAAATTCAGAATAATGCGGAATAAAGTGAAATACTTGATTATTTCATTGATATGAACAGGGATATAAATAACTCTTACAAGAATCCTATAATAGGAAAAATAATAAAAAGGAAATGATATGAAAGGAAAAAATATATCACCTGATACCTCTAATAATTAATTCATATTAATTATTAGGAGATATACGAAATAACATAAAATAGAAAAATAAATAATTGCTAATCCAAGGAAATAAATATAAAATATGAAAGGAAGTATCTCCTTATATTAAAGAAATAATTTATTCATCATAACTTCTTCTAGGAATAAATTATTTCCTATTATAATTCTTAACATTAGTAAAGTATATTGGGACATTTCAATAGAAAGTATCGAATGTTCTGAAAAGCATCCTACCAGCCCAATAGTATGCAATGTAATTTTGATGGCTACTTTTCATGTAAACAAAACCTTAGGAATTTTATTGGGATTGTTCTAAAAGCAATTAGGAGAGAAATTGAGGAATTGAAGCTCTAAACAGAAGACCATTTGAAAACCTAAAATACATGAAAAACCAAGACTAAAAATTGATATCATAATCCATATTCTAGATCATTTCCAAAGGGTAAAGAAAATGTTCTTGCACAAGCTTGTCAGTCGTTTATTCCAAATCAAAGTGCAAGCTTCCGCTACTTGATTTTACAACAATAAAGTGTAACAAAAATAAGTTCTTCAATGTGGTTTGAGTTCAGTTATCATAATGCATACAAATTTACGTGGTCTGAAGATTTTCACCTACTTACACAGTCGCATGAAGATCCAATATTACACTAAGTTTTAAGAGATAAGTGCAGCAAAGATTTTATTTAATACTTCAGAAAAGAAGGATGGTATGCCTCTTTCTCTACGGCAATAAGTAAGAGAAAGGGTGGGGGCCAGCCGAAAGGGAGGAGAGGAACCTATGGGATCATAAGTCAAGGAGACAGTCCGCCTATAAAAGGACTGGCCAAGGCAAGGTTCACTTACTGGTGGGTCGAGCAGCACGAAAGACGGCGAGCGTTGCGTTAGGGTCGAGTCGAGTCGAAGAGGAAGACGAAGGAGTTCTGTCAATCTTTGACTGGTCCGGTGCGAAAAGAAGTGGTGGGAGCGGCGAAGGAACCTGTGCCAAGCCTACCAGCAAAAAAGAAAAGGAAAAGAAGAAACGTCGTTAAGGAAGGAGATCTCGCGCGCTGCCGAGCAGACGAGGAAGCTTGGGAGGAAGAAAGTCTCATGCCAGAGGTAAATTAAATATTTGTTTATTTAAGGCATTTCATGGGAGGAAGAAAGTCTCATGCCAAAGGTAAATTAAATATTTGTTTATTTAAGGCATTTCATATTAGAAGAATGGATATCGGGGCAAATCTTATTGAATAAGCGTCATTGAGTTGATTACTTTTACTTCTAAATTATGTTAATAATGTTATATTCTTCTAAATCTCTCGCATTAGAATGTCATTAATTAATATATTTTGTTACTGCAACTAGAATAAGATTATTCTTGCTTATTTATTTTAAATGTGATCATCTATAAATGAACGTGAATGATTTGCATAGCTATGCTTATTTACTACACATGCATGAAAGATATTGGATGATATATGGAAAGTAAACGAATTGATTTACTGTAAGCTTGCATTTGCATGATTGACAATGATAGAGCACCCCTTAATGGTACTAGTAGGAGAACA